AAAAAAAGAAGGGTATTGTTTTCGTTTTGAACGACTCAAAATTTGCCTATAAAATAATCTTTTAAAGATTTTCACTTTTCGCTATTACAATTATAATATGTTTTACTATACTTTTATAAATATTCACGTAAAAAAAGATTAATATCGATGATATGGTCACCGTAATTATATAATTTTTTAAGAAAAATGAGTTTGTTTAAAATGTTTTGTAAAATGTTTTCTCCTGAATGACATCAACATTTTTTGAATCTGTGCTATGGTTTTGGAGATATTTGGATTAAAAAAAACGCTGTATTTGACTTTTGACCTTTCGTAACTACCGTAGTTGTCATTTCCGCCCCAAAAGAATAATACTGTTATACTTGTCTCAAAAACCTCTATTGATGTCCATACATATTTTTTTTAGTTTTTGCAACGTTCGGATTCTTAACTTATACCGAAAGTGCTACACCATCAATATTTATTGACAGTAGGTTTGTTCCACATGCTGTTTCGCTAATTAGAGCGTTAAAATAAGTCTCATAAGTGTCAAAATTGTGTCAACCTGTGCCCAATGTGCCCAGAGCGTTAGGAACGCAAAAACCACTTTTCGTACCCGGAATCAACAAATCAGTTGTAAACAATAAGGGTATTCATATAAACGTTTAAATTTATGAAACGCTGAAAATTAAGCGTTTACGCACACTGTTAGATAAACGTACCTCGTGAAATATGTGTGTAGTTTTAATTGATCAGCTGAGTTGTGTCACCTTTGAAGTTTTTGACAACAAAAAACGAAATGCCGAAAGTAAGTGAAAAGAAGCAATTTATAAATATTTGTACAGAAATTCATGCTTGATTTGTTGTTGCTAGAAATTTTTGGTAAAAACGATGGTAAGTTACATTTGATCGTTTGTATTTCGTGTTTATCCTTAAGCATATATCTCATTCCTGTATATTTTAGAAAACCAACGAAAGCTAGAGAGAAAATTTGGGATGAGTTAACATTGGCAATCAGCGCATTTGAACTTTTAGGGTATGTATATCTTTTTGTTCACCATTCTGTGCCCAAGACCCGAAGTTTCTTAGAAGACATTTTGCCAAAAACTATGTTCCCATTGGCGTAATTTAGAGGTCAATCTTAATTTACGCATAAATTAAGTACAAACTAAGTAATTTCGCCTTGTAAAGTCTCTCAGTAAATTAAGTTGAAAGTACGTAGTTTATCTTAAACCAAGAACCAAATCACGAACAAATCTGTGTCGGCTCTAATTTTATCGATAATAATCGAAAAAAGTATTGTCCCATAACTGATATGTCATTGTGTTTGGACGTTTTTGTTTTTAATAATTGCGCGTGGTAGTTTGTAAAATATTTCCAGAAGCTTTCTCTTTTGATCACTCATCTAAAATCTAAAAAATTACCACAAACAACTCAGAATATAAAAATATACGCAATCACTCACATTCGCGATCTCTTTTGGTTAAATAAACAATAACACAGCGTTGCTACAAAGCTGTCAAGACAAATAAAGAATCGCGTGTATGAACGCACTTAATTTAGTGAGGTATTTTAAACGAAACTAAGTATTTTATGTTGGTAATGTGAACATAGTTAAAGATGGCCGCAAATAGATTTCGCGAAATAGTTCGAATCAGCCCGAAAACATTTGAATTCATTCTTAATTTAATAAAATACGACGAAATTTTTAATGACTGCTCTTGTAAGCGGCAAAGAAGCAACCATAACAAGAATTGCAAGTTTGTTTGGTGTAGGTAAACCATTTCAATAAAGTTTTCACTTCTAGGATTTTATTTTATTTGCCTTTAGTACCCATCCGATGGAGTATTCCACAGTACTCTGAAGCTAAAAAACCAATTTTTATACTGGCCGGGCGATCAGGACCGTAAAACTCTAATTGCTGAAACCTTACACGAGCTACCGTATTGCATTGGCTATGTGGACGGAACGGAAGTTAAACTTGCCGAAAAACCTTTCCAGGATCCTAAAGCGTATTTTTCGCGAAAACATATTTACACTCTCAAAGTTCAGGGTGTTTGTGACCAGAAATTAAGAATACGTCACATGGTACTTGGATATTCAGGCAGTGTTCATGACACGAGGGTCTACAACAACTGTCCTTTGACTACTAACACCTCAGAAATGCTTAAAAAAGCGGAGTGGTTAGCTGGCGAAAGTAAACTCAAGAGAAGTCAGCCCACAACAGCGAAATACTTTTAACAGAAACACAGTATATACAGTAATAAACCTTTTCGCAGTTTTTCACCAATTGGTCCCCAAAGAGAGATAAATCAACTGTCAAACTTTGTATGAAAATCTATTTAACCAAAGGTTATTACTTTATCAAAAGATTTTGGTGATTAAACGTATACGTTTTAGCAAAATTCAACCCTGACAGACTGCCAAGAAGTCGATTTTGCTACGAACACATAAAAAGCAAATTAGCACAATAAAATGAAACGTAACTAGCCAGATGAGTTAAATAATAAATAAGTTTGTGCAATTATTTACGAAAGTGCGTTCATGAAAACATGCGGATAAACCTATAATTTTAAGTAATTTATCCCTTTATCACTTTAGATGAAGACCCATGAACTGTGTTCGAAAGTAAACGGCTATCTCTCCGAACTTTCTCGCTTCTTCACTGCAAAGTGTCTAGCCCTCTCCCCTACGAAATCCTCCGCGACCCTGTTCACAACCTGGACGAAGGAGGTCAGGCTACCACCGGGGATTCACGTCGATGACACACCAATTCCGACGGTGAATAACCCCAAAATACTCGGAGTAACATTCGACAGCCTGCTCTCCTTCTCTGCGCACTCAACCGCTATTGTCAATAAAGTACAGAGCCGCAACAAGGTCCTCAAGTCGCTAGCCGGCAGTACTTGGGGCAAAGGCAAAGAAACGTTGCTGGCAACAGACAAGGCAATAGGCCGGCCGGTTTTGAACTACGCAGCGCCAGTGTGGTCGCCAGGGACTAGCAGGACGCAGTGGACGAAGCTACAGACGGTACAAAATACGGCACTTAGGACAGCGACGGGATGCCTCTTGATGTCGCCTGAACACCACCTGCACGGCGAGGCGCAAATGCTCCCTGTTAAGGAGCATAATATAATGCTCTGCAAGCAGTTCCTGATCGGGAGCCACAGAAGTGGCCACCCAAGCAGACAGCTGATTGTGGCACGTTTTGACACATATTTGACACTTGTGAGAGAGCAACTTATTTTTAAGCTCTAATTGCCGAATCATCCCGGAAAAAGTGTGGAACCAACCCTACAAGAATTGGGTGATAGAAATTATTACATTCTAATTTATCTTACTAACTCATTTGCCAATTTTGCGTTGGTTAAAAAAAGATACCATTAAATAAGGCCATATGTAGAAAGAAGAGAAAAGATCACATGTATACATTTATTTTTTTTTTTAATTTTTTGCATATTGGCCTTAAAAACGTGATGGGAGTGTTTGATGGACATTTCCATCACTATTGAGAACACATGATTAATCAAATGACTATCACTGTTCTTGTGGGGAAGCTAATATTGCATGATCCACTGCCAATAAATATTGCGATACTTGATCGTGTGACGGAGCCCTAAAGAAATCTTTGTTTAGAAATACTAAACTCCTATTTGATTGCATCTCTGTTGTCTTGGTCTTGTGACTTTTGTCAGCTGAATATTTAGTTAATCGCAGCATCGAAAAAAGTGATAACTTTGCGGACATTTCTTGAAAATTATTAGAATATTCCTGTGCATAATTGTATCTAAGTAAGCAAAAAAATGGCAGACGTTAAAGATTTAATAAATTTGCCCGAAGATAATATTGGTAAGTATTCTTATTCTTTAGCGAAACATTTGTACATTTTCCAAAATGCAAATATCACCGATAATTAAAAATTAAAATAATTTTAAGATATGATAGCTGCCACTTCAGTGCTGCAACAGCAGGCAGCTGATATACGTACCAGGACAATTAACTGGGCATCTTACATGCAGTCTCAGATGATATCACAAGAGGACTTTAATGCAATAAGCGCACTGGACACTGCCAAGGCTGCCTATCTTCAAAAAAATTCTGCGCAAGCGGTGAAAACTTTATTGAATCTGCTCGCCCATGTTTCAAAAGATCAGACGATACAATATATACTTGTGATGATCGATGATATGCTGCAAGAAGAACGTTCGCGTGTTCATTTCTTCCATGATTACGCAAAACAAAATAAAGAGTGTGTTTGGGGACCTTTCCTTAACTTATTAAATCGTCAAGACGGTTTCATTGTAAACATGTCATCGCGTATTCTAGCAAAACTTGCTTGTTGGGGTCAGGAACTCATGCCTAAATCGGATTTGAACTTCTACTTGCAGTTCTTAAAGGATCAGCTGACCGTAAATGTAAGTTTTTTGCATACATAAGCGAATGCTTGTAAAATTGTAGAAATATGAAAATTTCTGATTCTTTTGGACTTCAGTGTAGCGATGCCTTGGAATTATTTACGAATGTTATATATACATATATCTTTCATTGTCATGGTTGCATGTATGTTCTAATGTTATATATTTTGCATGAGAATTGAGAAGTTTTTATATTACCGTTTTGCAAGTATCTTTGCTTTAGTTAACACAATTTAAGGGTTGGCTTTCCAAAACGGAACCAATCGAGATTTCAGCGAAAGTATATGGAATTTAGTCATGAAACTTGGTCAGGATGTTGGGGAAGGCTTTCTCTACATGAATGTATCACTCTCACAAAGTAGTTGCTAATAGTATTTAAGCAGATTGTTGTTAAATAATCTTCACTACCACCCCCAACTTTTTGTACAAAATGCCACTTATCAATTGTATTTTGGTTGATATACAATATCTTCAATGTTCACGTGCGTATTTGATACTTTTAATATATATATATATTCATCAATTAATTAACTAAAACGCGTTTATAAATCCGTTCACTCGTTTTTGCACTTTTCACAAACACAGAAATAACAATGGCCGACAGTAACAGCAAATGTGTGCTGCCATACTTCTCGAAGCTATAAAATACAACTATAAACCATATCATTTTCGATTTCGATCCAAGGGCTTTTTATTATAAAATCGATACTTTGATAAATCATGAAAATTTTTAATAAAAAATCGCGCGATTTTTTATTACAAATTTTCGACTGCGGCGCTTTTTATTATAAAATCGATACTTTGATAAATAATGAAAATTTTTAATAAAAAATCGCGCGATTTTTTATTACAAATTTTCGCCTACGGCGCTTTTTATTATAAAATCGATACTTCGATAAATAATGAAAATTTTTAATAAAAAATCGCGCGATTTTTTATGAAAATTTTTCGACCGCGGCGCTTTTTATTATAAAATTGATCCTGCGATAAGTCCCCTTTCAGACATGGCAAGTCTTGCTTTCAAGTCTGCTCGTTCGTTGGCGAAGGAGGTGAGAAGAGAGGGGAAGAGTACAGATACTTTCGTACCGTCAATTCGTTTCAAGTTTTCTTGTCTCTTTTGATCTTTTCGTTGCTTCCCATTTAAGAACCAAGGACTTGAATTCAATTAAAGTTGACGCGTGTGGAAGCAAATAGAAAACACAAAAGAGAATGCGAAAAAAATTGCTTTCAAGACTTGCCGTGTCTGAAAGGGGACTAAATTATGAAAATTTTTAATTAAAAATTTTCGCCGGCGGCGTATGTGCATTTTTTCATTGTTTCCGTTTTGTGTTTTTTTTTGCATTTTTTAGTATGTATGGCAGCACCGGCATTTCAGTTCAATTGGTGTACAAGGAAAAAAGTGAGGTTGAATTCGGTATTTTTTGCAACTTTAAATGCGAATTACTTAAAAACTATAAGCCTCCGGAGGGTGGGGTCTTCAGATTTAGAATCTGAAAAAGCTCCTCTATACTCCCTGATATTTTGTTTTTTCCAAAGCCTGGATCCGTTTTGGAAAATTTTCCCCAATTTAATGCATATATTGATATTTGCAACAAATTTTATTAGTTATTTAAGCTTAGAAATAAAGTGATATTATGACAGTAATCGTTCGGTATTAAGGGCCTGGAGTACGGTTTAGTTATTTGCCCATTAATTTCGGCCTATTGCGTCCAAATGTATGACCAGATCCGTAAAATTTTTACACGCACTTGTAGTGAAGGGTGTAAACTTTTAAACTATGTAATTTTCGGTTAGTAAATCATTAATAAACTATCAAATGCCCAGCTTGCTTCGCAGCACCTGATAAGAACTTTTACGTTGAACAATTATTAGTTTAGGTTTTCCGTGTTTTCCGGGCATGCGAAGAGATGTTTCGAGTCATGTGGGGTCTCTCCGCATGCCGGACACTCATTTGGCACATTCTCATTCAATCAGGTAGGAGTTTAACCTGCTGCAGTAGCCAGAGCGGAGTTGGGATATTGTCGTTCGTGTCTCCCGAGGCAGATGAAGCTCCGTCTCGTCTATGTCCAGTGGCGGTATTCCTAGAACGGCATTCACAGGTCTAGAGTCTACATAACTCGAGACTGACTCCCTGCCTGGTCAACCTCTGGACTTCGTCCGTCAGTGCATATAGATGCCTCCTGACGTGCCTAGGCGAGGGCTCCTCTGCAAGCAGCTGTCTGTATGGGTGGCCACTTCTGTGGCTCCCGATCAGGAACTGCTTGCAGAGGATTATGTTGTGCTCCTTTATGGGAAGCATTTGTGCCTCGTTGTGCAGGTGATGTTCGGGCGACATCAGGAGGCATCCTGTCGCTGTCCTGAGAGCGGTGTTCTGTCCAGTCTGTAGCTTCGTCCACTGCGTCCTAATAGTCCCCGGCGACCACACTGGCGCTGCGTAGTTTAAAACCGGCCGGCCTATTGCCTTGTATGTTGCAAGCAACGTTTCTTTGTCTTTACCCCAAGTACTGCTGGCTAGCGACTTGAGGACCTTGTTGCGACTCTGTACTTTATTGCCAAGAGCGGTTGCGTGCGCAGAGAAGGAGAGCAGGCTGTCGAATGTTACTCGGAGTATTTTGGGATTATTCACCGGCGGAATTGGTGTGTCATCGACGTGAATTCCCAGCGGTAGCCTGACCTTCGTCCAGGTTGTGAACAGGTTCGCAGAGGATTTCGTAGGGGAGGGGGCTAGACACTTTGCGTTGAAGAAGCGAGAAAGTTCGGAGAGATACCCGTTTACTTTCGAACACAGGTCATCAATTCCATTCCCAGTCGCCATGATCGAGCAATCGTCGGCGTAAGAGACAATCGAGACTCCCTCTGGTGGTTGAGGGAGCTTTGAAATGTAAAAGTTAAACAGTAGCGGGGAAAGGACACCACCCTGTGGAACCCCCTGTCTTATTTTTCTAAGTTTACTCGGTTTGTCTCTTAACATTACCGACGAGTGTCGACCACTTAGGTGCGTTCCCACGACAGTCGGGTCTACGTAACCGGAACGACCCAGATTTATATCTGGCCAAGGACTGTCACTCCAGCAACACTCCCCAAAAACTCTTTGGGGAATTTGTATGCTGCTACAACAACAACAACAACCACTTAGGTAATTTGCCGACCACCGTTTCAGCCTCTGTGGGAGAGAGGAAGCCTCTATATCTTCTAGTAGCGTGGAATGGCAGACGGTGTCAAACGCCTTTGACAAGTCCAACGCTACTAGAATCGTTCTCTCACAGGGACGGTTTCGGTTAAGGCCACGAGTTATCTGAATATTTATGGCGTTAAGTGCTGTTGTTGTACTGTGCACTTTACGGAAACCATACTGATGCTTCGCTGGGGTCAAGTGGTTTGTGAAATACGGGAGCAGCAGGGCCTCGAGTGTCTTCGCTACCGGGGAAAGGAGTGTTATCGGCCGATAAGAATCTCCTTTGTTGGCAGGTTTCCCGGTTTGAGCAGTGGGACCACTCTCCCCACCTTCCAGATGTCTGGGATGATGAGAGTGGCCATAGATAAATTGAGGACCTCCGTTAGGTATGCTACCCCCGCAGGACCTAAATTTTGCAGCATCAGCATGCATATTCCGTCGGGACCCATGGCTTTGGAGCCTTTCGCCTTCCCGATGGCCACCTGAACTTCACCGCAAGTGAAAGCAAGGGGGGCACAGGTTGTTGGCAGTTTGTGCAGCCTTCTGGTCACTCGACGCTTGGCTTTGTCCACAACTGCCGGCTAAATTAGCTCGCGCATCGCTCCGGGTCCGACGAAGCATGGTTGCCGAAAGAAATTTCGACTCTGTCATCGTGCTTCGTCGGATTGGACAGTGACCTCACGGTTGACCAAAGCTTACTCACACCAGAGGGGAAGTTACAGGTCTTCAGATGCTCTTCCCACTTCTTCCGCTTATGTACGTTTACTAGTTGCCGAATCTCCGCGTTGAGATCCCTGATACGGGGATATCCGGGATCGGCCTGACGAAGGCTATCACGCTCATCGGCTAGAACAGCCGCTTCGGCAGGAAAGTTTGGACGTGGGTCCGTTATACAGTGACGAGCAAAACTGTAACATAGTGTAACACTTTTTATTTCAGCCACCGCTACCTTTCCAAGTACTAACGACATTCATACTTTTGTTGTATATTCTTATTGGTACACCCCTACTCCCTCTCTCATAAAGATTTGAAGTCAATCCAACAACAATAATAAAGCCAGCAGACAAAAATGTAAATTTTTGCTGTTGCATCCAGTCTTAGCGAACATATGCAGTATGTTTTGGGTGATTTTTCAGCAGAAACTCTCATTTTTCGACTACATCTTGCAAATTTTGTTGAAATATGAAGAGATACTGTTCTTCACGCATAATGCGTACTACCGCACCAACAATATTTTTGAAATACAACCCTAAACTATTATTGACCAACCACTGAGATTCACAGCTTGCCTTACATGATGCGCTTAGGCTTAATTTGGGTCTTTGATCCAATACCATGCCCGGCCATCTGTTTGAAAGCGATTAATTTAGTCGTGTCAGACCAACTAACCTTCAATTAAATCTTAAAAATGTGTTTTTTTTATTGCATTCTGTAAGGGCTAACATATCCCAATAGGCAACGGTCTGGTTTTCGTGCGACCCGTGCGACATGTATTTTGATCAAAATCTTTTATTATGCCTTTGCGTTCAATTTGACAATTCTTCGCCTCGCTCTCTACTGATTTGAATTCAATTTTAATACCTTAAGCGCTTCTGTAATAGTGGCTGCAGCGCTACTGCTACTAAGTTCACAAGATATCGGACCGTAATATTTTTTGGCAGACTTCCTTTCTCCTTAATAACATTTTAGGCTATATTTTTTCTCAGTCTTAACATTTTCATGTTGCGAGCTCCACAATTTTTTGCCACTTTTCCTACGGTCCCGCGTTTCCGCAGTAAATCTATTATTTGATGTTTCCTGATAAACGATATTTTTTACTGGTAAT